CGGTTATCACCTGAGAACCCCCTCTTGCAATCCAGGACCCCTTGGGGGATGTCAGAGAGCCAGTTTCAGCCTGATCCCCGCAGGCCAGGCCAAGGGACCCCACTGGTGCACAGCACTGGGCCTCTGATACTGTATAAAAGAACTGACAAAGAAGAAACTGTCTAGCAAAACACCAACAGAAAGGTAAAATTTTTCCTGATGTCAAAGCCTGATGTTTTCCTGGTTTCTACTTTGGGTTGATAGAGAAGAATCAGTTAGTGGGAGCATAATATAAACCTGGTCACTTATAGCTCCAAGAATCTCCAACAGGATGTAGTTTGCCAAACTATTCCCTATCATTCAAGTTCAATCGGAACTTGAATAAACTTAAAATAATTTTTATAAATAAAACTAAGATAGGTTGATGATGTCAAATTAAATAAGGATTAGTTAAAGCATAGTCTCTAGCTTCTTCTAAACAGAAGACAGCTAGCCCATGGCTTACAGCGAGGCAGCTCAATCCTGGTGCTCCTATGAATGAATCAGAGGAAAGCCCTCATTGCCAGTAATCAGGATTGAACATGCTGTGGATGCATTATCACAGTGAGAATCAGCCATCATCAAAGAAACTCTACCATTTCCTGAAGCAATCAAGCGATTGCTTAGGTTCCTGGCCCATTACTCTTATTTCGATGAATCTTTCTTTTTTTTAATGTTCGCTAAGGCCCAATAATGATACTTACTCATACTGTAAGCATTGCTGAAATGAATTTTCCAGATCACTGAAGTGTACTCCTTTAAAAGCTAGACTACATTTTAAAATTGCTTGAACCACTTTGGCTGGGAATGTTTAAAATGTGCATTTGTTTCTTTACTCCTTAACAAAGTACACACTGTACAACTTGAAGCCTTCTTGACCATGCAGACACATCTCACTAAGCATGCCCTTAGGTCGTCTGAGAACTATAGAACACTTCCCAATCTATACACACAGCCCCTGAACCCTGGAAATTGGTACTTCATAGCCTGCCTCATTTTTAGAGTTCTAGATCTCCTCTTACTGTTAGGAACATAATTTATTTTTCTTCACTGTCACTCAATCTCACTTTCACCTTTCCCCTCCCACTCTCTAACCTGTTGGGGGGTGGGAAAGCCAGACTGGCAAACTTGCAGAAAATGTGTCACATGATGGTGGAAAACAAATCAGTTTCACTAAAAAGAGATGTGGACAGGAAGCCAGGAAGGCTGGTCAAGAACCTTAATTGCTCAAACCACTCACCCTTTAGTTGAGACATTGTTAGCTGAAGCAGCCTCCACCTTGTTTGTCCCATGTAAGTTTCTGTTATTTCCTGCCTAAGAGCTACATGTAAATTTCTGTTTATGTCACCTAAGATGTTTTCCCCAAAGCCTCAATAAAAGGGGATGGCAGGGCCAGAGCAGGAGTAGTTCTCCCACTAGAGTCGGACTACTGCCTGGCCCCCCATATCGCCAAGTTGAATTTCTTCAAGTCTATTCATTTGTGTGCGGCCCTTCTCCAGAACCCGAACCCTGAATTGGAACCCTTTCCACTCGGGACGTGAAAGAGATTCCTATAACATAAGGTTTTACTGATATATGTTCACTGGCCTTTGAGTAAGGGCCTAGGACCTCGCCTGTGAGTAAGGTACATTGGACAAGAATTTCAAGAGCTCAGAGACACTTTTTTACTTAATTCTGGGGTTTCTGTGGAAGTGATAAGTAGATGGAGTTTGACCTCAGGGTACAGATATCACTGACATTTGTATTCAGGTACAAACACTGTTTTCAGAACAGTTTGTATGCATGATTTTAGGAAGCACTATAGCCTATACTCTGCCATCTATCATCATTCCTCATTTAAACTTCAGATTAAAAAAATGAGAAAGAGCCGGCACCGGTTTGGCTCAGTGGATAGAGCATTGGCCTGCGAACTGAAAGGGCATGTACCTTGGTTGCGGGCACATCCCCAGTAGGGGGTGTGCAAGAGGCAGCTGATTGATGATTCTCTCTCATCAATGTTTCTAACTCTCTATCCCTCTCTCTTCCTTTCTGTGAAAAATCAATAAAATATATATTTTTTTAAAATGAGAAAGGAAAAGGCAAAACACTGACTTTTACAAGTTAGAGATCATCAAATAGCATAGTTTTCTGAGACATCTCTGCCCTGACCTTTTCGTTCTCAGCCCTTAACTTAGGACACCCATTGCCAGGAAGCTAAGAGACTCGCCATCATCATAAACACACTAGTTCATTCTCGCTTCTCAGACACCATTAACTACACCATCTTTTCAATTTCTTAAAGAGTGGAACCTTGCTGTCATCAAGGCCTCTTTCCTCCATTTCCCCTTTTAAATCAGGCAATTTCAAGATTCTGGTGCATGTGGTTTTTCCCCATGTCTAGGATGCATTTTACCTGCTTCTCACTAAAGCCTGTAAAATTCTAATTCATGGCTCTTACAGACTTCTGCTTTGCAAACAAGCTTCTCACCTCCCTCTACCCAAATCCATCCCAATAGTAGTGCCCACTCTTTCATCACTGGACTCTCAATCTCTACTTCCTGAACACTGTCATTGGGTAACTCTCAAAATATTTCTTGCTCTCATGTGAAAGCTATATTTTCACCTTTAGTTCTTTTTATAGTACTTCTTAACACCCACCTCCTCCTGTTTGATCTTTACATTATCTCCTTCCAGTTTTATATGTTCCATATAGTTTACCGCTGGAATTAAAGCAATATGTTGAATTCTCTCTTTTCTCAAGTCTACTCCAGAGGCCTTTCCCTGATCACACCTTAATATCTTCAACTACCTACAGAAATTTTCTTTTCTAAATGCCTTGAAAGTCACTTTCCCCATTTCAGGTACTCAACTATTTTCCCTTTTATATATTTCCCCAAACCTCCAGAGCAATAATTACCAGATTTTCTTTTGTGGTTATTCCACACACACCTCTGCCCTTCCTCCTTCCTCACATTGTAATTGTCAGCAAAACCAGGACTGAACTCCTGAACATTTACATGGTGCTATATAGAGTTCCACAAATGCCTTTCCCCAAACTGCAATTCTTTGGTGTCCTCTTACCATTCTATCATTTCTATCTCTATCACAGCGTTCTGGTTTGGAAAGGAGAATCCCCATTTCATAGTAAATAAACTCCCTTCTGCCTTCAACTCATTCAGAAAGACTTCGCTCTGGAAATCTGGGCCTGTCTTAAAGACACTGCTGTACCCATGGCTCCTGCAGCCATCCCAGAGGAAAGGATCTATTGTTCCACAGGACGGACACCTCAGAGTCAGGACTGGGGGAGGGTCTACTTATTCCTCAGAGCCACTAAAACACCAACCCAGCTTTTTCTGTTGCCAGCATCAGGTAAAAGCTTCTACTCTTCCTTCAAGGCCTATGACCTGTGACTACACTTCCTTCCCCCTGTTTCCCATCTCTTAGTCCTGTCACAATCTCACTTAATACGCCTGCTTTCCACATGCTTGATCTCTTCATGGCCTCTATTCTCTTCTCCTCACTTCAGCTACCCACTTTCTGGACCTCACTTTGGACCCATTCATCCCCTAGAATTACGCCCCTTGCAACTTCCCATCCATTCTGTTCCCTAAGGCAGTGGTAGGCAAACTGCAGCTCCGTGGCACAGTTTACGGCTTTGTTGACTAATGCGTTTGTCAACCTTAAGGCCCTAGACCTCAGAGAACATGACAATCCATCAATCCTCCCACTTCTCCCAGTTGATTGGCCCATCCTAGCTTCTCTTCCTTCTCTGCCCAACTTGGATTCTGGGGCTGATTTCTAGATTGCTCTTTTACCAGTAACCTCAGCAAACATTTGGCTGGACTTCCTGACACCAACCCTCTATCTGGGCAGCCTCCCATTTCCTCTGACCCCACTCTCTGGCTATCATGCTAGATCCTTGCTTAGGTCTCATGCAATCTTAATGGAATCACCTCCTAAGTGCCAGCTCCATTCATCCACTCCTGGTTTGGTCTGCTCCTTTTCCTTCCAAGCTTCCATTCTGAACAGGTAACATGCAAACCTTTCATTTCTATAATAACTTAGTACTTAAAAATGCTTCTGAATATTTGTCATTTTATTAATAAGAAAATCTCTTATGAGGTCGAAGCTCAAGAATATTATAGCCAAAAGAAAAATTTAGGTTTATGATGTTATGTGACTTAAGCTCTCACAGTCTCCAAAGAGTAGAACTGATTGGCCACCATGATAATGAGAATATATTTTCTTTCAGTCCATCTGAGACACCTATGCTTGTGCCAAATTATTCAACATGCTACTTGTGGGGATGACACATTAATCAAAGACAGATAAAGGGATACCACTGTGAAGGCAGAGGTGACCTCAGGGTCAGTTTTCTACATGCAGTCATCCCAGAAGCAAACATTCAGTTGACAATAGCTGAGTCAGAGAGAGGATTGACTCCAATCCAAGAGACACAGAGAAATCCCATGCAGACCAAGCTACTCTGTGTCCTTTGTGTGGAAACCCAAAAAATGAAGTGGAGCCATGGCACTGGAAGAGCAACTGAGCCCGGCAATGGGGAATCGGGTAGAGAAGAGAGCAATGTGGAACTTCCTATGGGGACTCCTTTGAGACATAATCAGTATGCATTGGGAGAGAAGACTGATATGTGATATGCTCGCTTCTGAACAAAATAAAATAAAACAGACTGCTCCTCTCCCCATCCTGTGCCATCTAGACATCTACAATGTAATAAAGACCCCAGATACAATCAGGTACGAATCCCAGGGGCTATACAGATAACAATAGCATTGAACAAAGATCCAAATGAAATTAAAAAAATTTTATGAAATATGTGTAAAAAAAAACCCAAAGGATATTCCTCTACAAACCTTTCATCTTCTTGCATAAAAGTTGTTATATTACATCTGTATTTGTACACATCCCTATTAAAACGAATATTATATGACCTAGGATTGCCCCCAACAAAAATGCAAATATTTAACAAAATAATCATTTACCTTGGTGAAGATCAAAAGGAGGTCCTCTAATTTTCCATGTAAATCACCTGGAGGGCAAATGAAACAAGAAAATGCCCATTTTGTTACCGAATTTTACAAACTGAAATATTGCTAATATAGTCCAACCATTCTCGGGGCATTGGGTTTTACCCTGTGATGATGTTAATTCCAGGGTGCTATGGAAACTTTATCCCCTTTCTATAGAGGACAGCATCCAATATTGCAATCATCTATTCACTCCTGCCATTTACACAGTGCTTACCTTACTCTGTGCCAAGCACTGCACTACAGGTTTACATTAATTATCTTGTTCAATCCTTATAACCACTCTATCAGATGGATATTATTTTAATTATTCTCATTTTTACAGATGAGGCTCAGAGTTACCCAACTACCAAGTATCAGAGCTGGAATTCAAACCCAATTTTATCTCATTTCAAAACTAAAGCCCTCATTGATTATTCTGTAATATAATCTCTAAAGGAGCAATAATATCTATCTTGGCAATAAACACCTATATGTTTCCTCTATACCCAGTGTATAGCAGGAACTCAATAAATACACTTAATTGCTAAATATGTAGCTTCTTAAAGCCATGTTTTAAAGAATATGTTCAGGTAGTTGCATTAGAAACTTAAAAAGTATGAGTAGATGGCTCACATTCTTTTGATGAGACAATTATAAAAAATTAAAAGGAAAGCATTCCTCTATAAAACTCAGCCAAATAAGGGAAACTACATGAATATATGAAGCTATTAATTTAAAAACAAGAGTGAAATATGAATATTTAAAAGGCCTACTTGAATAATTATTTCTAGGTAAATATTTATCTTTCATAAGCTCTGATCATAAATATTTACTCCATGTATTCAACTTAATTACCAAATAGAATTTAATTTGGAAAAAAATTTCCTCAATTTGTTTAAAAACCCATAGCCAAATTCAAACAAATATATACAACAAAATACTCCAATTATAATGGGAATGATAAAATTAAAGTACTTATCACAGCACTTATTCATAAATTGACTGTAATATTAACATTAAGAGCATATTAATACTATTGTATACTTAAATCTCATGCTTTCATGTAGTCTCACTCTAAATCTAAAAAATAAAAATGGAAGGACTTTTTACATATCAGTTAAATATATTTTTTACTAATTTTATTTTCCTAATTGGCTTCAGGGTGACTCATCTTTCAAAGATTTGGGTAGACAGAACTGTTGAAGCTCTCATGCTAAAAATGAATTGGTTTTAGTGTATTAAGAGACTATAAAAACATTTATAACTTCTACGTGGACAGCAAACAAAAGCCATATCATGGAGAGATAGCTACAGAAAGGTATTTCCACTGCAAATAAAACATGAGTGTAGAACTGGTTATGATTTATAACATAATTGTAGACTAAAACACCTCCTATATTTCTTGTGTGTGAGTCATCCTTGCAGAGGGACCATGCTTATCTTCTCTGTACCATTCCAATGTTAGTGTATGTGCTGCAGATGTGAGCATAAAACACTCCTATATTTCATGCATGTTGAGGACCATTGTAGCCTGTTTAGATGTGCATATAAAATATGCATCTGGAAATTAAGATAATGGTAAAATTTCATCACAATTTCTTTCCCTCTCCTAATACTATCTTAAACAGAAGATGTTTTTGAAAATATGAACCTAATTTTAAACTTTAAAAAAAAATAATGACCAATTTTTCTAAGTTCAATGGGACTATTAAAAATATAAAATAATTCCCATGTTATGGGAACCTACTGATCTTGGCTTTTCCTTTTACCAATGGTGCTATGTGGGAAAAGCCCAGAAATAAATGCCCAAGATACAGGGATCATTAAATAAATGGAACTGTCCCATCAATCTATATTCCCTAACCTTTGTCTCACGATGGAAAATGAAACAGCAATCAGAGCAGTACATGATGTGGAGTTAGGATAGCAGATATGGCTCTAACTAGAGGGCCTGCTTTTAATCATGACCTTGTCACTAACCAGCTGAGTAAGCTTGGCATGACAGACAGATGGTCTCTGTAAGAACCTCTCATTTCTTACACTGTGTGATTCCAGGATTCCATGCCCTCTAATTAATTCATGTCTTCTTCCAGATCCTTTTATCCAAAGATAAGTCACCATGGCACCTGGAGGTATACTGAAAATATGGGGGGGCAGGCCCCACTCTCTGTTTGGACTATTATATATATTCTGAGAGCAAATCTAGCCCTGGCATCATAGATAGGCATGGCCTCCTAAGTCTCATGACTCCAAATCCTTTGTTTCCATGAAAAGTAAGAGTGGTGAAGCCTTGAATAAAAGGCCCCCACTGCTGAGATGCCTCATCTGCTTGGCAGAGATGTGCTGGCCTGATTCGATTGGAATTAAACCATTGAAGACTCTTCAAAAACCTGAGTCAAGGCATGCCATGAAGTATGTGCTGCTACATCAAGTCCCTGTCACCGCTATCAGATGCTAGAAATGGAAATGGTTTAATTAGATTGTCAAATCCACATCTACCTGCCAGAGTAGAAGAAACACGGGCTAAAAATTGATTTGGAAAATAACAATCACTGTTTTGTAACCTAAAGGCTTAATTAGAAGTTAAGGGAGTTGCTGTTCCTTCCACGCACTCCACTCTCAGACGGTTGCAAGCATGCTGAGAGCACCAACTGTGTTGAATTTCAATGTGTACTGTTTCTTGAAGCAATATCCTGCCAGGCTGGCCTATAGGATAACACAATCTCAATCTTGTTATTTAGAAGAACAAGGAACAGATTTCTGGAACATTCCCACTCTTCTAAAAGCTGCAGAGACCAGTTGGAAAAAAATCTAAAACAGCAGCCAAAAGCAGAGAAGACTTTAATCTCCACCCTGCCTTTGGCTTTTCTCTTCCCAGCATAAGTGGCATGCAGAGGCCCACCGGGGAAAAGCAACATGGAACAAAGATAATGAGAGCTAGACAGAGGGCAAAGAACGCTTATTCCACCCATGGGTGGTTTCTGTATTAAAACGCTGCCTTTATAAAAAGCTGTGGGTTCTTTAATTTCTCACATAATTAATTCCTGCCAGCTGGTATGCAAAACAAAGACAAGATGGGGAACAGTATTATCATGATAGATAACTCTATATTAACACATTTCCCTTAACACACTCCAATTTATGCAGTTTTCAAGTTAGGCAAATGACGTGGAACCAAGAGGCTCCAAAATATTAATTTGGCAGCACTGCTCTAAGACTTACCACAGATGGTTATCTCTTTGGTGGGACAAGTTCTTATATGATTAAAATTGGGCATTTGCTTCATGGCTTCCTTAGTTTCGAACAGTATTTCTAAAACGTAATAGGCATGGAGTATCTGTGAGGGCAAAAGAGCAGAAAAAGATATGACGAACTAGGAAGAAAGGCATGACTGAATAGAAAGCTATAAAGGTGGAGCAAATGAACACAATCCAGGTAGCCGTATTTCAGGACCATCTCTAAATCAGTCTCAAATAGATGATTCCAGCACAGCATCTGGCATATAATAATCCCTCACTAGAGATCTGTAAATTGAATGAATGAATGAATGAATGGTGCCTAAGACATTTATACTCCCACGTTCTTAATTGACATCACCCAATTACAGAACATTTCTGATTATTCCTGGTCAGTAAATTCCAAGTGAAGTGATGGGAAAAATTGGAGACTACTTTGCCCAAGGAAGTGTGCAAATAAATAAATAAAAAGGAGGGTAAGGAGAGAGAGAATGAGTAGAGACTGACGAAGAGGGGCTGCTTTGCATTTGTCTGGAATGTCCTGGCACCTAGGATGGCAACTAAGCGCTGGGTTCTGAGAGATATCGAAAGGAAGCCAGGCGTCCCATGTGTGGCTCAATTGTTGGTACACAGATTGTGTGAGTCTACAGAACAGCAAGCATATTTATATTGTACAAGTCTAAGTATAAAACATATACAAACCCCAAATAAACCATTTGGATTATTTCCTATTATGACCATTCCATTCTCTCCTCCAATTCAGTTCTTGATGACATCATTGTTTTGGACAGATTTACTCTGTTTTCTCCTCTGGAGTTTTTGTTTGTTTTAAATCCAGAGTGTTGTTCTCCCTTTTTTTAATTATAAAATATTCCAAATACACAAGCCAAAAAGTAAAACAGCCAATAAAAATTTAACAGATGTTAACACCACTTTATGGGTCAGGACTATTGGCAGTCCTAATATAGTAGTCACTAGTTAGTCCCATGGTGCTACTGACCATTTGAAATGGGGCTAGTGGAAATTGAGATATGCTATAGGCAAAAAATACATACCAGATTTCAAAGACTTAGTATGAAAAAAATTACATGTTTAATTAAAAACTTTTAACATATTAAAATAATTATATATGCTGGATTAAATAAAAGATATTATTAAAATTAATTTCTCCTGTTTCTTTTTACCTTTTTAATGGGACTACTAGAAAATTTTAAAATATTTGTGACTCACATTAAACTTCTATTAGACATCACTTGTTTAGATTACTGAAGGCTGAGAGAGGGGTCATATCTACATATTGTTCAGTTACTGCTTTGGGTATGGAATTCAGGACATATGGAACCCTTTGGAACAATCATGACTCATGGTATCCTGAAATTTCCATTTCCCTGGCTACTAAAATAGTAAAATTGTTTTCTATCCCAGACCCCAAAAACCTATGATTTAAATTTGGAGAATGTTCTTATTTTCAAAATATATTTTATTGATTTTTTTACAGAGAGGAAGAGAGAGGGATAGAGAGCTAGAAACACTGATGAGAGTGAAACATTGATCAGCTGCCTCCTGCACACCCCCCACTGGGGATGTGCCCGCAACCAAGGTACATGCCCTTGACTGGAATCGAACCTGGGACCTTTCAGTCCGCAGGCTAGGGGATGAATAGGTGGCAGCTGGTCAATATTTCCCTCTCATCGATGTTTCTAGCTCTCTATCCCTCTCCCTTCCTCTCTGTAAAAAATCAATAAAATATATATTTTAAAAAATTTTAGAAAGGAAATGCCATAAATAAGCAATGGACAGAGAGAAGGTTTCTGTGTATCTGAGGATACCTCATTAATGGGTTAAGCAAAGCACAGGGTAGCCTTCACTTGATGTGAAGGTTTTCCCCAAGGGAATGTGTTTCTGCTGAAGTGTTTTCATTCACTGATTCAACCAATAGTCATTGAACACTTTATGCACAGAATCAAGGCAGTATCTGCTTCCACTTACCTGCTGCTGCTTAAAGGCCTCAATCATTACATTCAGAGAATTACTATTGAGTGGAAATTGCAGCCGAGGGCCAATATAGGAGTCCGGAATCTCTATTATCCCTACACATTCCTGTCTACCCCTGTCGTCCAGGGGGGCGCAACCAAACAGCCGATTTACTAAAGCTGGAAAAAAAACAAAACAGAAAGGGTGGCAAAAATCAACATTCCCATACTTAAATGCAATCAATACCTTTTTGAAAGTCTAGTCCATGTAAGGCACTGTGCTAAATGTTATGAATACCGTGATATCCTACTTATAACCATGAGGAATGATTTGTTCTGAAACCAGTAGGTAGATGCATATGAATCACTATCATCACTTCCTGGGTTGATATTTTACCAAATCAGTGAGTTCATCAGTGGGGAATGGAGGGATGAGCACAGGGAAAACTGATCAATCATGGTATTTCGACGCTCTAACTCTACTTTTTTTTTTTTTTTTTTTTTTGCCTACTCTTACATCTCAGATTTTTACTAGTGTTGAAAACATAACAATGCATTCTATTTGGCTCAAACATCTGCTACTATTCATGATCTACAGAAAATCAAACTGCAACATTTAATTTTCCCCGTTAAACACTTCAAATTTTACTTCGCCATAATTGATTTGTCTCCTCTTCACATAAAAACAAAATTTCTGACGTGATTTTCTTCTTCTTCTTGGTAACAAAGCAGATAAAGTAAGTTGACAAACCATTGGCAGAAATTGCAAAGGCCCTCTCTCTCAGAGACACATTTCCATGTCACATTGTCTGCACTGTTTATTTCGGTAGGTGCTAAGATCTAGTGTCCCTTTCTGGCTAGATTTGCCCATAAAATAATCAGCTCAAGTACAGAAATCCGGCCAAATCAGGTAGGGAAAGGTGAGAGGGGATATTGTAGATTGATTTTATCAGTGATCCCAATTCTCTATCCCAAACCCTGGCATGCCCTTTTTAATGTGATTTTGAAGATTCTATTTCCCCAGCCCTTGAAGCTGGTTCGTGACTCGTGTTGGCCTAAAGAAAGTGGTGGAAGTGTTACATACTAGTTCCAAGCCAAGGCCTCACAAGGACTTGTTTTCATGCTCTCGCTTTTGAAACCATGCCACTACTATGAAGCCCTGGCTAGCCTACTGAAAGCTCCAACACCATGGGGAGCAGAGCTGAGTCACCCTAGCCAAGGCCGTCCTAGGTCGGCCACCATCCAGCAGACCTCCAGGCAAGAGCGAACTCCACCCAAAACCCAAAAGACTGCCCAATCAAGACTGCTAAGAACAGCATACGTGCTCAGCTAATCTGTAGACTGATGAGCAAAAAGAAATGTTTATGATATGCCACTGAACTATTGTGGTTGTTTAATACACAGTATTATTATGGTAAACAGATAAATGATACAGAGGATGATGACATACTTTTCAATTCATTAACAATCAACTGCTATTAAGGTCATTAATCAGAAGTTGTCTGTAAGCAGTTTCTCTCATTTTGAATATTTAGAGTAGACATGTTTGCCAGGTGGGTACTGGAAATATTGGGAGGAACACTTTGTAAAGTATATAGGAGTGGGCAAAGTTGGTTTATTGTTATTCATATGGAAAAATATATAATTCAAGAATAAAAATAGTTTTATGTCCTGACAACTATGAACCTACTTTTCCCACCCCTGTATGACTAACCAGTATGCTAGACTTCTGAAATGAATACAAAATTATATTGAACATAAATTGTAATTGAAAAATAAAAAATCTCCTATATAATAAAGAGGTAATATGCAAATTTTCCATCACACTGTGACAAGATGGCAGCACCCACAGTGGGGGCAGGCCCGGCCGCCTTACACACCTGCCATCCAAGTCCCTTCAGCCCCACTGGGGCCCTAGGGTCCTCCTGAACCCTGCACTGACTGACAGCTCGCCCAGGCTCCTCCAACAAGCTGCCCATCCCTGTCTTCCCTCCTCCCCTGAAGCTGAGGCCTAACTGTGGTGTCCAACAAATTGGAAGCTATAACTCATGTCACTGAGAGTATCCTCCATCCTTAGCCTGGCCCGGCCACTCCACACACCTGCCACCGGAATCCCCTCAGCCCCACTGGAGGCCTTGGGTCCTCTTGTACTGCCCACTGACTGAGGCTCAGGCAAACAGGTCAGGCCGAGACTCAGGCAAACAGGGCCACCGAGGGCCAGCTTGAGGCACAGGCAAGTCTCAGATGGCAGCTGCCCAGCCACCCAGGGCCAGCCGAGGCTTGCACTGTCAGCAGTGGCAGCAGCAGATGTGTGATGGAGGTGTCACCTCCCAGACTGTGAAAGGGGGCAGGCTGGGCTGAGGGACCCCACACACACACTCCAGTGCAAGAATTTTCATGCACTGGGCCTCTAGTATATATGTGTGATAGAACATTTTGGTTAATATTGGAAGCAAAAACCAAATTAAAACATTACTTCCACACACTCTGCCCCACTCCCACTGCCACCCATTTCTGATTAAACCTAGAGCTATGTATAGCAGCTTTGGCTATCTACCTGTGGGAGAAGGCTGATATGGAAAAGCAGACTGGAGCTGATGTGTAGAGTCTCTCCATCAAATCCTACAAATTGCTTTTGATTAACTAAAATAGGACACAGAAAATATCTGCTTCCAGGTCACCTTGTACCTTTGGAACACCCAGAGTTGTCAACCTACTCTGTGCCTCAGAATAAAACCATTAATCTGCAAATGTGAAGTGTAGTTGTACCTCTAAATATACCTTACTTAGAAGTCAGAGCACTTTTGCCAAATAGGTCTAGGTAGAGCTTGTCTGGGATTCTCCTACCAAAGAGGGCCATTGGAAAGCAATGTACAGCATAGGGACTCTAGTTAACAATACTCTAGTGCAGTGATCGGCAAACCGCGACTCACGAGCCACATACGGTTCTTTGGTCCTGTGATTGTTCTAACACCACTTCTTTAAAATAGACTTGCCCAGGCTGAAAACCAACTTCTGTGCATGAGAAATGAAGTTTCAATCGCATTGTACGTGCAAGCCCGCACATGGTATTTTGTGGAAGAGCCACACTCAAGGGGCTGAAGAGCCAGATGTGGCTCGCAAGCTGCAATTTGCCAACCACTGCTCTAGTGTATATTTCCAAGTTTCTAAGAGAGTACATGTTATTTATTTATTTATTTATTTATTTATTTATTTAATATATTTTTTATTGATTTCAGAGAGGAAGGGAGAGGGAGAGAGAAACATCAATGATGAGAGAAAATCATTGATTGGCTGCTTTTTCCAATGTTAATTAGGTTAGGTTTTTTTCTTCCCTACCTCCTTCAGGTGAGGTATGATATGTTATCATTTGTAACACAGTCATGTTCATTTGTCACAGTGTGTATTCCATTTTGGAAACACATACACACATATAGTACACTTTGTTTTTAATTATATTTTTAGGAATGTGAAACATTATCATGGTTTTAAGAGTCAGAACTACAAAAATGAATTCTCAGAGACATGCCACTCTCCCCTCAGCCCTCTACCTGATCCACATTCTACCATTCCTTCTTTCCTGCTCCCACCCATCTCCTCAATTACCTGTAGGTTAAAAAAATGTCATTAGTTTCCTGTTTATCCTGTAGGTTTATTCTGTATTTATTTTTTCACAAGTGAGTGTGTATGTGTGTCTGTCTGGGTGTGTGTGCGTGTGTGTGTGTGTGTGTGTGTGTGTGTGTATGTGTTTGTGTGTGTGTGTGTGTGTGCACGCGCGCAATCAGGGTGCCCCCCAAAATGTGTACTATTTAAAGTGTGTGTATACATCTTGGGGGAATATCCCTGCATATACATTGAGTGGCCAGATTATTATGATCTCTGAATGCATAATAATCTGGCCACTCAGTGTATATCCTATATAATAAAAGGCTAATGTGAAAACTGTCCCCTCAACCAGGAGTTCAACCAGCAGGCAGGCTGGCCAACTGCCCATGTCCTCTTCCCCTGGCCAGGCTGGCTGGACCCACCCATGCACGAATTCATGCACCAGGTCTCTAATACACACACACACACACACACACACACACACACACACACACACACTGGCCAGATTATTATGTGTTCAGAGATCATAATAATCTGGCCACTCAGTGTATATACATATATAAAGATTTCTTAAACAAGATAGAAAAACCACTAATCATAAAGAAAAAAATTGAACTGCAATGTACTGCAATGGAATAAAAAATGTCTGTTCATCAAAAAACACTTTTTAAAGATTGGGATGGGGGAATAAAAGACAAAGACTAGAAGAAGATATTTGCAACACATTCACCTAACAAAGATCAATATTCTTATAATTAGAATGCTTAGAAAATTCACACCAATTGCTAATAAAAAGATAGGCAAAAAGCTTCACTGAGCAGGACATGCATGTGACTGATAAACATACAAAAATTTTGAGCAGCCCTAACCGGTTTTGCTCAGTGGATAGAGCATCGGCCTCCAGACTGAAAGGTCCCAGGTTAGAGTTCAGTCAAGGGCATGTACCTTGGTTGCAGGCACATCCCCAGTAGGGAATGTGCAGGAGGCAGCTGATGGTTGTTTCTCTCTCATCGATGTTTCTAACTCTCTATCCCTCTGCCTTCCTCTCTGTGAAAAATCAATAAAATATCTTTTTCAAAAAGGTGAGCAATTTCACTGCTCACCAGGGAAATGCACGTTAAAGTGGAAATGTGAACCACTACATACCCACCAAATGGTTAAAATGAAAAGGAGACACAATTACAAGTGTTGGCGAGGATATGGAACAACTGGGACTCTCACACACTGGTGGCAGTACAACTTGGTACAACTTTGTAAAAACTGTCAGTATCTAATAAAGCTGAACATATGCATGCCCTATAATCCAACTCTTCTACTCCTGGGTTGTGGTATATCTTTATAGTAATGATCCCCATTGAAACATGCTTCCTTGTACCCATATCCCTTTGCAATATAATGCTGCTGCTGCTCCCTGCAAGAGATGGAGCTTTCCTAACCCCTTGGAATCTGCAGCTGGCCTTGGATGTGCTTTGACAAAGAGAAGATGGCAGAACTGATTTTGTGTGTGTTCCAGTCTATGGCTTTGCAGTCTATGCCTTTGGCTTTGCAGTCTATGCCTTTGACGCCTTGGAATCCAGCTGCCATGTAAAATAATGCAGAATATCCTGTTGGACAGAAAGGCTGCATGAAGAGAATTAGGTTGTCAAAGTTCATAGCTAACACCAAAACGTCCCAGGCATGTAAGTAAAACCATTTGGACCTCCCTGCCCCACCAAGATGGGTTGAGTGAGCTCAACTGATACCATCTGAAACAAAGATAAGTCATCCCCACTGAGCCCTGTTCAAATGCCTGACCCACAGAATCATAAACAAACAATGGCTGTTGTTTTAAGGCCACTAAATGTTGGGGTGGTTTGTTAGATAGCAATATATAACTGAAAATGAGTACTTAACAAAAGAATACATATGCTTACCAAAATGGACATGTATAAGAATATGCATAGCAGTAAGTACCATTGAAATGACCAAAACTGAAAACAATTCAAAAGTCTATAAACAGAAGAATGAATAAATTTTTGGCACATTAATAAATATGAAATATTATTCAGCAATAAGAATGACCAAACTGCATCAACATAGATGAATCTGACAAATACTTTAAGTTGTGTAAAAGAAGCCAGACTCAAAGCTCTATGCTTCCATTTATTTGGAGAAGTTAAAAAAAAACAAGCAAAATTAATCTGGAGTGAAGAAGTAAGAAAAATAGTGAAGAGGGATTGGATAAGGATTGGAGAGGGACAGGGGTGGGGAGGATTCTGTAGTTCTAATAGTGTTTTATTTCTTGTTCTGGGTTTGTTTACTTTTAGAAAATCTATTGTCCTGTACTTATGATTTTTGTACATTTTGTAATGTAAAATTTACACAAGAAAATTAAGCCACTGTCCCCTAATTTGATAAAATTGTAAGTATATTTTTAAATCACCAGCAGAATTTTTTAAATGTAGATTTTTTTAAATCAGAGACTGAGTAAATATACGTAGGCTGGAACCCAGCTATCTGTGGCTGTGAATCTCCATAAGCAATTCTGATGCATAGGCTAAACAGAGATATTAGATCATTAGCAGAAAGAATGCTACTTCTTTTCATCATCATTATATTTCTTCTCAAAAATATTTTTACAAAGAAAATGAAATAACTCTCATTCTTTTGGATAATTGCAATTATCTAAAAGAAAGAAAATGCCAAAATACTTACTTCCACCCACTCCTCATGTTTGGCTATTCCACCATTCAAAAAGCTTCCATAGATCATTAAACACTTTAATTAGTTTCATACATATGTACTTAGCTCAAAGCATGCCATTAAACCACCACGCTCTTGCCACTTCAACAGGTGTTCACTAGATTATTTAAAATATGCTCTTAGATGTCATAAACAGTTTAAATTAGATAAAAATATGCTTCCCCCAAATTGAAGAAAAAGTTTTAAAGTCTAGCATCTACCTTGCAAATAGCAGGCAGATGTTAATTTGAAGGAGAAATACATGCCTTGTGAAAAACTATTATTTTAAAATCATTTTTAACCATACCTATGTTGTCTGTCTCTCGACATCTATGCAGAAGTCAGAGACATGATGAAGCCAATTGTATTTAATCAACCATTTCCCCAAGATCTATTTCATGAAATATTCAAGATATTTTTAATCTTTCAGCACAAAAGTTTCATGGAAAGCCTGGCTGGTATAGCTCAGTGATTGAGCATCAACCTATGAACCAGGAGGTCAGTCGGATTCCTGGTCAGGGCACATGCACAGGTTTTGGGCTTAATCTCCAGTGTTGGGCAAATTGATCAATGATTCCCTCTCATCTTTGATGTTTCTATCTCTTTCTCTTTTCCTCTCTGAAATCAATACAAATATTTTTTTGAAATTTCATGGATAAAAAATAAGATCCTCCTTACTAGACTACTACTATACATCAATAAATCGTGGTTCAGAGAAGGTATTAAACAAAGTAACATTGAATGAAACCTAATTCATTTTTTTGAAAGTGAGAGGATTAAATGGTCAATTTAGTAGATACCCATCAGAGATGGAAAAAGCCAGCTGAACTGATTTCACTGTTGTTTGGTGTCACCTAGACAAGATAGGTGGGCATCTTTTTTTTTTTTTTTTTAGAATGATAAACATCCCCGAATTTAATAAGAAGGAAAAAGAAAATTTTTCTTATTTTAAAACAAATGACAAGAAAGCATTTATAGTACAAAAGCTCAAAATAAAAAAATCCCTAAAACAGATGCTAAAATTCATAGGAACTTAATACATAATAATGGTATTACCACACATCAACAGAGAGAAAAATGGCCACAAATAAAAAGGGTTATCGCCCTAGCCAGTTTGGCTCAGTGGATAGAGCGTCGGCCGGTGGGCATCTTTTCAATTATTTAGTGTTCTCCTGTCTTCAGAGTTTACATTCCTTGGTGAGGACAATTCAATATTTAATGAGTGCTTTTGAAAAGACTAAAGTTTTACTTACTTGGATCTTTCTCTTGTATATGTACGTAGTTTTCCAACATGAAGGAAAAGAAATTGGATAACTGGATAAAATAAAAACACATTAATCAATTAATGAATCTCAAATAGCTACTGTAATAAATGCTATTGGTGTTTCATGTAAGTCCCCTTTAATCTTCTAGGACTCTCATCTCCCAGCTGCACAAAGTCCCACCTCTACTTGCCCCCCTCCTCCAAGGACTGCCCTTGGCAGATGAGAGGTACCTTCCCCAGAGTTGCATAGGATTTCATTTATCCGTCCTCCTGGGAGGCTGACCATAGACATGACTAACTGAAGCAAGGGTATTACAGCCCAGACCCCCAGTTCCCTTGCCACTGGGTGGAATAAACCATGACGCACTTTAAAGCTCCCAATGGGATCAGACTGAGGTCAGCTTCTCCAGAAACCAGTTTTCCCTAGTTTCTTCCCTTGTCCAATCTTGCTTTCCTCAGTTCCGTATATGTTTTTCCTGAGCACACTTTTAGGAAATCATCTGTACCAGAATCTCTGATTCAGATTCTGATTTTAGGAAACCAACCTAATTTAGCTACTAAATTTTGTTCATTATAGTTTCTTATTTTTCTTTTGGTAATGAGATGAAGAGTTAAGGGATACTTTTAAATGTCAAATATATTTGAGAAATAAGGAAGGAGAGAGGGAGGGAAAGATGGAAATCCACCAGCATTCCAACCATCACATGAATGCTGCCTCTATGCCTACCAATTATCTGTAAAAGCCTGCATTTATACAGCACAAATAACTTCTCCAAGCCCTGTCTCCCATAAAGAGTGACCACTAAGGAACCTTATCAACCTGGGAATAGGTCTGGGAGTTCAGGGAAGGCTTTCCATACAAATGTCAAAATGTGTAAGTTTAACACTGTTGGTGGGTTTGTCAAGAGTTAATAGAAAACACAATGAAATGCCACTGCACTCACACTAGGATGTCTATAATAAAGAAGATAGATAATAACAAGTGTCAAAGATGTGGTGAAATTGGACTTCTCATGCACTGCTGGAGGGATGTAAATGGTGCAGCTACTTGGGAAAACAATTTAGCAATTACTCAAAAAGTTAAACACAGAGTTACCAGATGACCCAACAATTCCACTTCTAAGAATATACCCAAGAGAATATGTCCCCATAAAATCTTTCACACAAATATTCATAACCGCATCCTATATAATAAAGAGGCAATATGCAAATTGACCATCATGCAAGATGGCCTACTCCATGTGGTCACAAGATGACTGCCCCCATGTGGTCACAAGATGGCCACCACAAGATGGCCAGCAGGGGAGAGCAGTTGTGGGTGATCAGGTCAGCAGGGGAGGGCAATTGGGGATGACTGAGCCTGCAGAGAAGGGAGGACAGTTGGGGGCAACAGGGCCAGCAGAGGAGGACAGTTGGGGACAGCTGGGCCTGAACAGGAGGGAGGGCAGTTGGGGGCAACCGGGCCGGCAAGGGCAATTGGGCCAGTAGGGGAGCATTTAGGTGTCAATCAGGCTGGCAGAGGAGTGGTTTGGGGATGATCAGGCAGGCAGGCAGGCAGGCAAATGGTTGGGAGCCAGCAGTCCCTGATTGTGAGAAGGATGTCCTACTACTGGCTCCCAGATTGGAGAGGGTGCAGGCTGGGCTGAAGGACACCCCCCCTCTATTTATTTACAATAACCAAAAAGTGGAAACAAGTTAAATGACCTATCTACTGAGAAATGAATAAACAAAATGTGTGAAATCCATAAAGTGGAATATTATCCATAAAAAGGAATGAAGTACTGATATACAATACAACATGAATGAACATTGGAGATATTATATTAAGTGAAAGAAGTCAGACTTTTACAAAAGGATCACATTTTCTGTGATTCCATTTATATGAAATGGTGAGAAAAGGCAAATTCATAAAGACAGAAAACAGATTAGTAGTTGCCATGAGCTGGGAAGAAGGGGAAATGGGAAGTGACTGCTAATGACTATAGATATTTTTTTGGGGGGGGGGTGATAAAAATGCTCTAAAATTCATTTACATACCAAAGGCCATTAAATTTTACACTTTAACTAAACTGTATATCAAAAAATCTGTTATAAGAAGAGTCAATATTAAAGAATGTACTAAAACTAGAATGTGTGCATATAAAGCATACCAATTTTAGAACTCACTCTACCTTTATACTCATCACTACATTCCACAGTGCTTAAAAGGACAGCTCACACTGTGAGCTAATCAAGACAAAGGGAAAATCTGATTGAATCATAATATATCATCTTTATAACTGCCAAGAATAAATCAAGCAATGTCTTTGATACTTTTTAAAATTTTTCTTAATTATTTTTAAAGATAATGTGATAAATTTGCATATAAATATGATTGTTGGAAACTACAAACAACACAGAATGAAAATGAGAATTCCTCTCCCATCCACTCCTACTCCTGTCCCCAGAAATAACCACTGGAAATACTTCACTGTATAGCTTTTTCCAGACTTTTGCTGTATATTTAATTTTCTTTCATATTCGTGGGATAAAACTCTACATTCTGTTCTACAGGTTGATTTTTTTTCATTAACAATTACATTGGAAATCTTTCTAAGATGTTTTTATTACTAAAAAGTACTTTTTTCCATCAATAAGCATTGAAGTTTAATTTACATATATATTTTTTTAAGTTTGAAAAAAGTCTTCCTCACCCATCTATATTTTCTTCTAGAACTTTCATAAGTTTGTTCCCAGGAAATTCTTCCAGTTTTTAACACCATAAAGTATTATTGTTGTTTTTCTTCATAAAATAACAACTTCCTACTGAGACACGTTCCCAAAATCGAATAAGACCATCTTTATTAGACAACTAGATATATGGCAGCCCTCTTAAAAATGTGAACTTCAGCCGAAACCGGTTTGGCTCATGGTAGAGCATCGGTCTGCGGACTGAAAGGTCCCAGGTTCGATTCCGGTCAAGGGCATGTACCTGAGTTGCGGGCACATCTCCGGTGGGAGGTGTGCAAGAGGCAGCCGGTGGGGGGTGTGCAAGAGGCAGCTGGTCGATGTTTCTCTCTCATCGACGTTTCTAGCTCTCTATATCTCCCCTTCCTCTCTGTAAAAAAATCAATAAAATATATTTTTTTTAAATATGAACTTCAGAACAGAAAAATAACATCCTCATCCCAAATCATACTCCCTCTCTCAACAGCTAGTTCCAAGACAATATCACTATATCTTCTTTTAAAGCCTTTCACTAAGGTTTCTCAGCTTAAAATGATCCCAACCAGTCATTCTTTCAATAACAAGGGTAAAAATAAGCAGTTTACCAAAATAAGAGACAAGCTTACAAAACAGACCTGTAATTGGCCTTGTTCATCGGCATATTCAATGGACTGGAAGATGGTGAGAGCATAGCGTTGTCTGGTCTTCAACCGAGCTCTGTAACCTCGGTACCAATTTTGGATGATCAACGCAGCTCTTATTGCTGCAGACACACAGAAAACAAAGTCAGAGGAAAACAGTTACTATGCAGCTATGATGCGGGTAAGAAGGTGCTTCAGGGGAAAAAACAGTTCACCAGGATTCCTCAGTTCTACACACATAAAAACTACAATCAATGAGATTTACCCTCATGTTTTTGTCAAATATTCATAGAAGAATAATGGCATGCATATTGAGTAAAAATTTTGGAGCAAGACTACCTGAATGTGAATCCCAGCTCTGTTAATTACTGTTTATGTGACTTTGGGTAAGTTATTAAAACTCTTAAAGCCTCAGTTCCCTTATCTGTCAAATGGGAATAATAGCAATTACCTGTGGCAATATTTGAGCATATAAAATCTATATATGCTCTATGAAGTAGCAATTCCATTCTCCACTATATAACCCAAAGCAACTGTCACATAGTCCACTAAGGATACATGTGGCTTTACAATGCTTCTTTGTGGCAATAGGAAGTCTGACACCAACACAGCCTGGCTGTCTATTGCTAGGACAGAGAGTGTGAAACTGTGGTGGATGCACCTATAGAATCTATGGCAGAAGTGGAAGCAATAGATTCAATAAATCCATAGTAACATGAATAGTCTTAAAAAATTATGCTTCAGTTAGAACAGTTATTAAAAACTTCAAGACAGAATGAAATATAACATGATACCACTTTATATAAATTTAAAATACACACACACAAAACCACAATATACACTTCAGAAGAGTCAATACAAAGGAAAAGATACACACTAAACATAATAATTGGTTATTTATGGGGAGGGTGACCATCAGGTACATGGGTAAAAGGGAATAAGCAAATTAACATAAAAAAGAGTCTTGCAGCCGAAACCGGTTTGGCTCAATGGATAGAGCGTTGGCTTGGGGACTGAAAGGTCCCAGGTTCGATTCCGGTCAGGGGCATGTATCTTGGTTGCGCGCATATCCCCAGTAGGGGGTGTGCAAGAGGCAGCTGATCGATGACTCTCTCTCATCGATGTTTCTAACTCTATCTCTCTCCCTTCCTCTTTGTACAAAATCAATAAAATATTTTTTAAAAAAAGAGTCTTGCAGAAACCAATGATAACAATGCACAATGAATTAAGAAGTATGATTCACTCCACCTTCTACACCTGATATTCAATTGGCAAGCGATGGATGAAAATAACACACATCCCTCTGCATAGAGTTACTGTAAGGACAAAATGAGATACTACAGGTAAAGAGTTTAGCTAAATGACTAATGTAAAGCACATGCTAAATACATGTCAACTATAGTGGTAAGTATTCTCTTGTTTGTGGACTAATCAGACACACTGACTCTCTCCTGGTAGCCTTTGAACTATCCTGTACCTTCATAAAAAGAGATCAGGTGAAAGATGAGATTAAAACATACTCTCTTGTGCCCTCCTCAAGTTTTAGAGTTAAGAGGAACCAACATCAGCTGGCTCCTTTTATTCCTGCTGTGATGTTTCCCAGTTAGCACATAAAAATCAAGAGTTGACTAAAACGAGAACATTTGAGTTTTGAAAGCAGAAATCCAGCCTCCAGTTGCAGTACGTTTAGTTTAGTACTACTATGGTACACCGAGTAGACACTAATCATCTGAGGGTGTTTATTTATGAGCTCCCTCAAGGCTCTTGGGTTTCAGAGATTCTCATTTCATTACTCAGCTTTCAGAAAACCCCAGGAAATAGACATAAGGTCAAATATAAAAATCTTTATAGGGAAAAACCACAGGGAGAAGAAATCGAGTAGCTTGTTCAATGTTGCAAAGCAAATAGTTGGTAATACCATGGCTGCAATCTCATGTTCTTACCATGTCCTTCTGGACAGTAACCTGAAAGGTGTGTTCTGTGGAACAGTGACTGTCATGAACAACCAATCCTCACCTCGGTGGTTTTCTGTTCACCAAGCACAATGTTCTGGTGCTACTTGCTGAGGGTCAGGCAATAAATTTATTCATTCCTGCAGTCCTGGCCACACTGTGAAGCTGAGAGAGACTAACTTACTTAAGGTCATTTAGCCAATAAATGGAAATGGACAGCAGGAATTGAATCAACATCTCACTGACCCCATAGCCCAAGCTCTTAACCTGAATAAATCTATTGACCTTTTTCTGTATCTCAGTTTCTTTATCTGCACAATTATGAAGTGAAACAAATGACCTCTTTCTATTTACTATTAAAAACATATATATATATATATATATATATATATATATATATATATATATATATATAAAGCCTAAGCGACCGTTAGGACCTAACAACCAGAACTACCAGGATGACTGTCAGAAAGCACAGATATTTACATTACGATTCATTAACTGTAGCAAAATTACAGTTATGAAGTGGCAATGAAAATAATTTTATAGTTGAGGGTCACCACATGAGTAACTGTATTAAATGGTCGCGGCATTAGAAAACTTGAGAACCACTGCACTAAAATGCAACCTCCATAAAGGCTGGATTTTGGTCTATTGGATTAGCTGCTGTATCCCTGCTGGGAACAGTCCCTGGAACATAGTAGATACCCAATAAATATTTGTTAAATGAATAAAACTACTGTTTAATTAAGACTTTCTGTCTTGTGTTCCTCCTCATGCAGAGTGGTAGTCTTATGTTTGGTTTGGTTTGGTTTGGTTTTGAAATAAGAGTTTATTTGACAGATCATTCTTTAAGCAAGAAGCCTTATATTCAGAATAAGCCATTTAAAGACTCTGCTTTTTGAAATTATGCTGGTAGATGCCTCCAGGATGAGGGAATATGTAGTGTGACTTTAAAAGGTCTGACATCCAGTCAGGAAGAGAGAGAGGCACAAGTGTGATAAAACTGATTAAAATGAAGTCAAACGAACTGAAAAGAGAATGAACCATCTAGTGGCAAAAAGACTTTAAATAAGGAGGACAAGCATCTATTTCCTCAGCTATTCGAAGCTTGCTGAAAATAGGGTATGGCTCAACTCTGGGACCACAGTTTTCATTGTTTTTGTGTACAGATGTTCTACATCTGCCAGATGCTAGAGTGTGGGGCTGTCACAGTGAGAAAAGCATAAAGTGTGAGATGGTCACACAACCTGATTCTTGGACAGCAAACAAGGCAAGGACCTCTAGGAGACTCACTCATCCACAAATTGTGACATCCCTGCAGCCTCCTTGTCCCTGGAAAGCATTTTTTCTTAAACAAGAGGTATATGAAAGTAAAACATGAGGCCCAGTGTCCAAACAATGGTGGACATTTTAAATAAAACTATATACTTTCCCCTAATGACAAAAAAAATCAGAGTTTTATCATTCTTGAAAACCTCTGGCCTTTTAGTCAGAGAAGGAGAAGAATTAGAAGTAATGTCTGTGACCTTTTTATTTGCTCATATACTAGCCCACCCACCAACTCATCCACGAGGGGTAATAAAAATAATTTCTAAATTTATAAACTGGGGACTTCCATTCTGATCCCAACTCAAAACAGAGGCAAGTCACTTACTTCTCTGGTGCTCAGGTTCTCACGTGAACAATGAGAAGTTGGGATTTTGTGATCTCTAAGATGTTTTTCAGTTATAAAATACTCTAATTCATCCCTCTATTTTTTTAATGCCACAGCTGCAGCCTATTATTGCACATAGTGAAGTTGAAAATAACCATTCAAGGACAAAATAGAATGTGTAAATACAAACACTCAAATCAGAAGCTTCTGGACAAAGAAGACAAAACTTAGACTATTTTTAAAATGTGAATTATCTAGAAAGATCCAAGTCAAGTCACTAATATCCTTGACTTTCTCACATCAAGGAGTTGTAGCCAAACTTTGCTAGTAATTGGTCAAGGAACATGAAATATTTCACCTATTACTTCTTTAAATTACCTAAAATATGATTACTGTATATTATCTGTTAATTGGTTCAAGAAATACCAAATAGAAGATGAGGAAAGATGGATGAGGAAGAAAGTGAAAACAAGTTGGGGTTGGAAAACAGAGATACATGGGAAAGGTCTAAGACCCTAGGTTTCAATGACGATTAAGAGATCAGAGAATGGGCCCAGCCAGTGTTGCTCAGTGGTTGCGCATCAACCCATGAACCAATTCCCAGTCAGGGCATATGCCGGGTTGTGGGCTTGATTCCCATGGGGGTCATGCAGGAGGCAGCAAATCAATGATTCTCTTTCCCTCTCTAAAATCAATAAAAACACATATTTTTCAAAAAAAATCAATAACTATTTTAAAAAAGGGATCAGAGGATGGTATAATAATCATAAAGATTGCAGAGGTGGAACTGATCCAAGTGGCTACAGGAGCCAGGATATGGAAGTGAGCAGCTGAAGTACAGCGGAGGCGGGGCTGCCGGAGTTTAGAAGGTCAAGGAACTGAGATGCCAACATGTTTGAGATTATTCATGTGCACAGTGAAGATATCAAGATGATGCCAAGATGTGGCAAACAGAGTCTGCAAAGAATAAGAAAGCTGGTGGACAGCAAAAACAAGGAAGCGCTAACAAACAGTACCTCCAAAGGACATAAACCTAGTTTGCAGCCACTACAGGAGTAGGATTTTTTTTTGAAACATTTTCAAACATATTGGAAAATGGTAAGAATAGTAAAATTGTTAATATTTTGTCACATATGCATTCTCTTGCATGCTCTCTTTCCACACACACACACATATCATCCATCATTTCTTCAGTCTTCGTTATTCTAGAACAAGTGCTTAGCTTTCCTTTCCTTTAATGGTACTGATATTTTCTTTCTCTTTATAATTAGTAAATAATTTGTAGGAACACACTCTGGGATTGTGTATATATTCTATTCTCCACAACATCCATTGATGATTTTTGCCTAAATCAATTATTTCTATGGCGGTTGCAAAATAGCACATTTTAACTCATTTGTTCTACATTTTCTAGGATTAGGATTTTTAAATGCCCTGTTTTAGGTCCTTTTTTATTCAATATGGCAATGGAACAACACTTGGATTGCATAAAGCCATCTAATGCAAGTTTCCA